CGAGTTTAACTTTTGAAAACTAATTCTGATTCTCTAACATTTCATAGATGTTTGGGGGGTAACAGTTTCCATCTTAACAAAAACATGTTATCTAATTATTTTAGAATTCTCATTTTTTTTATTCATCCTACAATCATTATTTCACTTTAACTGGATCCTGCAGCTTAGAATCATCAATGACTAATGTCATTTATAAAAGACAGTTGCTCTAAGAGTAACTTTAAAAATGGAAACACAGGCATGCTTGATTCAGCTTCTAGTAAGACTGGTGGAGAGTCCCACATCTGATTCATCCAACCTTCAGGTCTTCAGGTTCTGCCCCCTCCCTTGTCTTTCCTCTTTCTACTCACTTTTAACTCAGTTTTTGCTTTTGCCATCACTCTGCTTGTTTCTCTGAATTGTTCCCCTCGAATCTTCTCTTAAGGATTCAGGAGTGCTTCTTGCTTTCTCTCCATTATCTTGGTCTGTTCTCCTCTTAACTTTTACTTTCTCCCCATCTGTCACCGTTTCTCATCCTCATCTCCCTCCCCCTCTGTCTGCACCTCTCTTGGGACAAGGAGGTGACAGCAGCGAGGTCGATAAAGTGCTGACATCATCTCGCATCTCATCTGAGCGGGTCATGGCTAAGAGGACGGGGGAGGAAGAGGAGGAGGGAGATGAGATGAGGAGTGAAAGTCAGAGTGATTCTGTCTCGCAGCTCTCGCTCACACACGTGATCATGTTTCCATCACTTCAGATGACGTTACACTGACTTCATTTCCAGGATAACCACATTTAACATCACCAAACAAAATGCGCATTTTTATCAGAAAATGCTGCCATAAGTTAAATTTAAAGTCACTTTTAGTGGATGTTAAAGCTTTTCACGTTTACTATAAATAAACAATGAATGAATTAAAAAAACAAAAAAAAAACAACAACAACCCTGCTCTCTTCAGCTTTTGTTCTATCAAACATCACCCATTAAAACACCAGTATGTGCCAATGCACTGGTGTTTCTTAAAGTTAACTAGTTAAGCTTAGCCAGGTAGTGAACCACGTCTGCAGAGATGGACTAGAGTGAAATTAATCTAAGGGACTGTTTGGTTTATTCTTACTTTATTCTGACTAATGATTTCCTGCTAACATGGATAAATTGCACTCCATCTTATTTCACAAAATAAAATGTAAAAAAAGGACAGCTAATTTATCCAAGCTAACTTATTTGCTACATCTACCTGCCATTTTTCTATGACTACACTATAACATCTACTGTGACACACTAAGCAGATTTTTGCTAAATTTAGCTCATCTGTTAGCACCATCCAACCACCCTGTGTTGGCTTTGCTTTGTGTCACTATGAATGACTAAAATAAATACTGTTCTAGACAGAAAGAAAGCTGTTGCCAAAACATTCTTTTCCACCAAAGAAAAATATGTTTAAACATTTTTAAATGGAGCTTAATTCATATCGTAACAAATTTCCCACGTGTGGGACTAATAAAGGTTATCTTATCTTATATCGTAAGTAGTTTTTAGTTTTTCAAATGTGTAGAATCATCAGGAAAATGCCAAGACATCTGTTACAAAGGTAGCCCAGACTCCCTGCCTTAACTATATGCTGAGCAATCGTGCTTACTTACAGTCAGCCGCCCAAAGGTCCATTTTCAGTAAGGAAAAAAACTCCTTAGTTAATATCAAAGACAAACAGTTAGGCGTGGTCACAGCCCTGACCTCAGCAAACGCTTTCTGATGCCTTTATCGGCTCAGTCAGGTCAA